TTTTTTTCTCAATTACTTTCCTTTCCTTTCCTTTCCTTTCCTTTCCTTTCCTTTCCTTTCCTTTCCTTTCCTTTCCTTTCCTTTCCTTTCCTTTCCTTTCCTTTCCTCTCATCTCATCTCATCTCTTCTCTTCTCTTCTCCAGAGTCAAGTCTCTTCGTTCTCTCATACCCCACCATTCGCCAACACCAAACTTTTCCTTCTAGGTATTTCCTTATCTTTATCAACAATTGGGATCGTTTCGTTCTTCGATCGATATTTTTGCTTTAACAAATTCATCAAATGGCAAAAAAAAATTAGGTTTATGTTGTTGTTTTGTTTTTCTTTTTTGTTTTTGTATTAATGGTGCAAAAGGAAGGGCAGCAGTTTATTCTTTTACCAGATCTACGGCAGTGGAAGTTTCAAGACGATTGCTTTCATCTGGACGACCTTCTTCGATTTTCTCGCCGTTTACTCGCCATACGAAACGAGGTCGTGGATTAGCATAAACTGTTACGTTTACTGTACCCTGTCGGCCGATGACGTATCCGAAACGTTCGATGGTTAGTTGAGGTTGAGGTGGATCTAAATGGATAACGGTATATAATGTTTAGTTAATATAAGATTATAATATATAATTGAAAAAGAAAAGAAACTATAAATAAAACTTACAATAAACTTGAAGCTGCATTTTACTCTCTTTTGGTACGTTCAAAGCAATGTGTTGAGCTACGCATCTTAAAGTCTTGCTGTTATCAGTCCAATCCAAACTACGTGAGGCATTTTGTACTGCGACGGATAATTCGTTCGAGTACAAATCGTCATACGTCGATGGTTTTTCGTCGTTGGTAAGAAGTTCATCATCTGAGGATTATATCGAATTAGAAAAATTTGAGAAGATTATTTGATATTTAATTAAAAATAAATAATACATATTCTTCAACAAACCGAGATAGAGAGAAATGTTCGCAGGCGGTCGTCCACCAGAGGCACTACAACTGATTTCCAATTTTTCTCCTTTTTGGTATTCGTGTCTGCCATAGTGTCCTAGACTCGTTTGAAGTTCTGGATTGTTCGGCGGTTCTATATACAAAAAAGGAAATATTTTCAAACACATTCGAGATGAATATTGATTTGTAGAGTGAACAAAATTGGAAGATAATAAAATTGACAATGAATGATGCTTACTAGCAATGACGATGTAAACGCTGGCATTGCTCTCTGTACGACCATCTACTGGTGTTAAAGCACACCTGAAGATTCCGTTGTGTTTCTCCTTCACTTTGAAGATGTGGACACCGCATTGACCTTTCTGAGTACCTTCGCCGTAATATTCTATACCATCCTCCGGTGCTTGATTCGGCGAGAGAATAGTGCTCCTTTCACCTTGGATCTCGACACGACAGATTTGCAATGGCGAACCCATCGTACACATGATCCTTAGACTATCTTCCAAACGTACGACAACTTGACCCTTTGGTTCGATGTCGACCGTTGGTGGCTTTGTGGCAGCTGCGAATATAATATTACATTATTAATAATAATGTAATTATTTACATTCTAATTGGTACATTTCATTATTATTATTATTATTATTATTGTTATTGTAACTGTTAATTAAAGATTTGGAGATAATAAAAGTTATCATTTTACGTTGCTTATATGAAATCGATATACTATATAAATATATAAGTGTGCGTGTACAGACAATATATACATCGAAAACTCGCATCGATCTTTCGCGAATTAGCGTGTCAAGTTGAGACGATGTAGAATATGGAATATCGTGCTCGATGCTATTATGATAATGCACCATAAGGAATATGATAAATCGAACGTGCTCCAGCCAACGATTATCATATTTCACCTGGCACGTATTCGTTGACGTACGGATAACCACTCGTTGTTGACTTATTAGTTTCAAAAATATCCTCCTTTTCCATCGAGAATGAAATAATTTCTAATCATTTTTTTTTCTTTTTTAGATTTTTCGTATTTCATTTGAGCTAATTACTTTATATAATTAATATTATATTTCAAATTCTATAGATAGTAGTATTAAATAAATAGACATTTCAATCGATTACGAGCTATTTTAAAGACAAAAGCAAAAAGATGAACAGGGTAGATATTCAATTGACTTTTTTTTCTGTTCTATTTATTTGTAACTAATTAAATATCCTTTTTAATTCAAAAAGGTCGATTGTGATCTCTTGTTCTCTTTCAATGACCAAGAAAAAGAGAGAAAGAGAGACAGAGACGAAAGAGCTTTCTTTGAAGAATGCCAGTAAATTAAGTAAGGAAAGAGAAAGAAATAGAAAGACAATCGTCTTTTAACGAAATTCTTCGAGCTACTTCGTGTTAGAAAAATGTTTGCCTCTAGTTGCTTATTTAATTACAAGGAACATTGATCGATCGATAATTAACGATATCTGTTCCTTTGAGAAAATCAAATAAAATAATTGAATGCTTTTATTCTCTGTTTCTCATAGAATTGATCATAAATTTTATACGAAACTAATAAAAGTAAACATTCCTATTTAAATTTTAGATCTATATAAAAGTACATGCGCAATTAAAGTATATATATTTATCAGTTTCGTATTCGGCATAAGTACTATGTATATACGTACATATGTAAGCACAATATCCTTAATATGTATGCAGTTGTAGTTTAACTCGTTTGTTTGAATCGTCAAAGCATGGGTGAGTCCAATAGTATTAGGTATGCACGATGTTAAACATGGCAACTATTTAACTCGAATTTTATTCGATACAAAAGTAAACTCGTAATTGTAGGATTGTTCGATAGGTCAAAGAGAAACCAGAGTGCTATCATCACAAACTGTTGGGCAAAGTATTTCTCGTTCGATGAATACGTTCATGCTTTTGGTGTCATGTTTATCGTAAAATATAATACATATATAGTATAAACGTAGATAAAAAGAAAACATTAAGTACCCTTTAATTTGATATCGATCAAAATTCTGTATTTTTCAAATTAAATTAATATTTTAATCATTCGTTAACTCTATAATAGCAGAATAGTTTCGAATATGATGAGACTAGAACATGACAGATGTTGGACCAGCTGTTATCACGTTGACACATATGGACGAACATAGATCACTATCTTCTATTATTTTTTATTTATATTTTTAAATTTTCATGACATACGTTTGAAACGAGAAAAATATCATTTATAAATATGTTACACGTTATTTGTCGATATTCATTTTTAAACGTAAAAGTAATAATAGGAAATGATAGACGTGAATTCAATTTAAATGTGAATTTTACGGATGTATGAATTGATGTTACAACGTTGTTATAAATTTAATATTAGCATATAAAAATGATTGTTAATAGAATGATATTCAATAGCAACGTCGTGATGTAATCTTACTTTCTCTCTCTCTCTCTTTCTCCTAGAGATGCTACTCGAAACTATCGCAAAGCCATAAATCCTATTTGATTTTCCAGCCATCAATTTGTTATACGGATGACGTCACGATCTAATTTGCCCGTATACAGGGGGTAGAATACCAAAGCAAATCCTGCTCTCTCTCTCATTCTCCCTCCTCCCTCAAAATTTCCCTCCCCTTCACTCTTGCTCTCTCACTTCTCCTCTCCTCTCCTCTCCTCTCCTCTCCTCTCCTTTCCTTTCTGCCATTACCATCGGCGTTGCGCATCACGAAAACCACAGCAACAGATGCGATGATTTGTGGACAGTAGCGTGCATCAGTGAGCTTCCAAAATTGATGCCGCCCTATCCAAGGTAAGTTCTAATTTGCATTCAAACGTGAATAGTTTATGTTTCTTGGAACTTGAAATTTCACGGAAGAAATGATTCTTTAAAAAAATAAAAAATATTTTTAGTAATTCATTCTGAGTCATCATTCTGAATCGTCCTGAAACTTCAGGGATGTATCTTATTGGAAGGGTGACAGACACATCGATGTTTTCTTTAGCAATCTCTGCATACAAGGTAAAAAGAAATATCGAATTCGCGAAGAACTTGCACAATCCGTGACACACTTCTATGCTTGACACGCGACACTCTTCGCGGATTTACATTTTTCGCGAAATAAGAGTATCTACGAAAAATGTAGAAAGAAGTTGAAAAATGCCACGACAAGAAAAAAGAAAAATAATATATTATTATATACGTTGGAAAAGGGCATCTGGAAAAGCGTCATCGTTCTGTTCAATCTCTTTCAATCGATAAAAATCATACGTTGTAGAATTATTTTTGTTTTGTTTTGTTTTATTTAAAAGTGAAAAAATTTATTTAACAAGATATTGTATTTATTTGTTTATTACAATAATAGACGTATTTGTAGGGAAATGTTTATTATATGTAATCAGAAAGAGTAATTTTCCCATGTGATATCTAATTTTCTCTCAGTAACGACACCTTCTCACTTTGCTCTGCAACATGCGAGCTGTACTCTCTCATCTCTCTCTTTCTCATTCTCTTTCTCATTCTCTTTCTCCCTTTACAACCTTCTTCCATCTATTTCCCTCTCATACGGTGGTGTATAATAGGAAAGAGGAAGCGAGTGCAAACCACTGTGGTCAGCTTTGCATGTGCAAGCTGCACGATGCAACGAGGGATACTAATCCCAGTCGGATCTCTCTTCCTCTCTTTCTCTTACCCTTTTCTACTATTGGATAATATTCTCTAACGTTGCTAATTTCACGAGAGAGTCCTATACTCCTGGCCCTTTCAAATCTGTTTTTTTCCTTTCTTTTTTCTTCTTTTTCTCCTTTTCATCTATGAAACACTGAAATGGTCAAGCTACGACGATGGAAATAGAGTTTCTACTTTTCCAAAATTAACATTCTCGTCCTGGGATTTATTCCAAAATTAAGAAATTATTAAAAATATAATGAAGATGAAATTTCGCGGATTATAATAATAATAATAATAATAATTTATATCGCACGGTATTTTAACGAGCGAAATAAATTATAAAATGATGTATGAAAAATAAATAATGAAATAATAGGTTTGATACGATATTACAAAAGATGAAAAAATATAATTCGAATGTGTACTTAAATCAAGGTTAATTAATTTTTCAAAATATGAAATTTTAATAACGAACCACGAAAATGAAATATAATAATAAGTTCGATGAAAAGTCGAACGCTAACATTAATAATTACAAAACGTTAAAATAATAAAAGAAGAGACAGGACTGATTTTTCATTTTAATTACCTCACTCGTTATCGCACCACTCGCCCGTGAAATTCGAAACGGAGCAAAAATATCGCCGATGGCAAGTTTATACTATACATATATTTCATCTATGTTATATATTTCTCTCTAGTGTCTTTCCAATGGAATCGGACCTGTGCCAACCAATTTTATTTTTTTATTGTTTTATGTTTTTTTATTACTTCATTATTTCTCGCTTCTTTTCTCTGAAACGAATCATCTTTTTATTGTTCAAATGAAATTCACAGCTATCAAATTTTCCACATTAGGGAGTTGTCTATTTTTCTTTTTTTTCTCTTTGTCTCTCTTTAACTGTAATATCCATTAAATTGTCTTTTTATGGTTGCACATATGGGACGAGAAAATCTTTCTCGTGTGTTTATTTATTCTCATTAAATTTGTTAAAAAATAAGAAAAAAAAAAAAAGAACAAGATTAAGAATAAAAATCTTTTGTAACAAAATCTCGAAAAATATTATCTTCCAAATCTTTTGCAGATATAATATAATATTGGAATGGTATAGTGTTCGTTTGTGAGACAAATAATGGTCAGGGTGATTCGTTGAACGGACAGAGAAAATCATAGTTACTTTCCCCCCCTCCTCCTCCTCCTCCTCCTCCTCCTCCTCCTGCTCCTCCTCACTTCCACCCTCTTATAGTTCACTAGAGCTTTATCCTTCTGCCTGAAACAGAGTCGCATTTCGTAGTTGGTCTAACAATTTCGCTGAGACAGCCCACAAATCTTGTAGAAGGTATAGGAGTCAGGTTTACACGAAACGCTAAATCAACTCTCCTTCGTCGTAGTTGCAACATCCACGTGATTTTCCACTTTCTATCTCTATCTCTATCTCTATCTCTCTTAAACTTCATCTTTACTCTAAACATACCGAAGGATAGGAAAGGCCTCGATTTCTGGGTGATTTCAACAAACGACGCCAAGTACCAGACTAAATCACTTTTGCTTATACCGATGATGACACTAAAATCGAGTTACACGAAATAGATTATGAATTTAAACTCAAAAATAGATGATCGTCGAATTAACCTGGATTTAGATGATTTAAATCAAAGTGAATATGCATTATATATATATATATATATATATATGTATATACTTTATAATATTCAATGAAAATTATCTTCTTATATTATAGCATTTAACTTGAAAGTTCCGCACTAATTGTTTTATATTTAAATCATAGAAAATTAATCAATATATAGAAATGCAATCGAATTTCATTTTTCCTATCTATAATAGTCAACTTTCTTTGCAATTATATTATCGAGA